GAAAGAAAAAGAAGATACATTAAAATATTCCCTATATCGAGAATTACGACACGAGATCATCGATTGATTCTCCACGTGATTATCCACATCCGGGAGAGGGAGAAAAAATTCAAGAGAAGAAATTCAGATCGAGAGATCACAACTCGAAGAGCCGTGGTAGAAAGTTGAAAGATTGAATAAGCCGTGAAAAGGAAAGTGATGGATCGTTATAGCGAGATAATCTTGGTCGTGTTTGTATATATGTACGTACGTACACAGGTCGTTCCCTTTTTGAAGTGGAACTTACGTAAGAGCGATGGAACTTTCACTTGTTGTACTCCGACCTCTTTCGCTCGTTCGAGACTCCGTCCGCTCTTTAATGGCCGGAAATAGAAGCAACTTCTTTCCTAACTTCTTTCGTCGCTTTCTTTATGAATAATCCGAGAGAAAAATTAATAGATCTGATTTTTTTTATTCCAGTTTCAATTTAAAATTCGTGAAGAATTTATATCGAAGAATAATCGATTTAATCGAAATTCGAGGAAGAAAACGGACAAATTGTTCTTGAAATTTATCGCGCCAACTTGAAGGAAGAAACTTTCCCTTTAATTGAAAATTCTTCGAAACAAGAAACGTCCATTTCCTCGTTCCAATTTCGAACAAAGCTCGAACCAAAAAAAAAAAAAAAAGAAAATTAATCGAAATATTTCGAAAATATATCTTATACTTCGCAATAGAATCGTAACATGATCGATAATAATTCCACAAAATTTTAAAAAGAAAGAGATTCGTGGAAATCCATTGTCCAAAAAAAAAAAAAAAAAGGAAACCAAATAAAAGAAGAGAAAAGGTAGCAAAATCACGTAGAAAGCTGCACCGAAACGAGGTATTTTTCGGGCGAGAAAAACGAAAGCTTCCGCGTGTACAGGGAGTTGGAGACGAAGCCCGAAACCGTGGCCATTGTCGGGGTCAATATTTGACCGGTTCGACATAACTTTGCTTTTAATCAGCGGGCAAAACGGCTCGCATTATCCAAATAACGCGCCGCGTGCTCGCCTTTCGGATCGTAACGAAAATTGCGGAGATACGCGCGTATCATCCAATTTTCGTCCGTTCGGAGAATCGGCGCGACGATTCGCCGACAAGCGACGAGGAAAATTGGGAAAATGGCGGCCCTCCTCCATCCAGTAGTTAGCCGCGCGGCCATCCAATTTTCGATGACACGCGGATTCTCGCGCTTGTTGCGCGATATCGAGGCTGACTGTTCACAGCCGTGCATCTGTTTAGCCAGATATCGAACTGACGTTTGTTTGCCCTTCGGCCCCTCTCTCGCTGCCAGGGAGTTGTTGTTGTTGTTGTTGTTGTTGTTGTTCCGGGAGCGCGCTCGGTTGATCGATATTCGAGACGAGGATCGAAGCGAGCGTCGCTCCATCGGTGTAATCTGGAGATTGGAAGGTAATCCGACGAGCTGACGTTTAATTCGAGGGAGGGAGAGGAGAGCGTGGATTGTTGTTTATGAACGTTGCGAGAGATTTTGAGCGTGGGAAGGGTTTAATGAGGGTTTCCCGATTGGGTTGGTTTCGAAAACTAGGCTGATTATTTTTCTCTCTCTCTCTTTCTCTCTTTCGATCTAATCTATGATGCGATCTTTTTCATCTCGTGAAATTTGATCTTGCGAATTTAATTAAATATAATTAAAGATTTAACGAAGGTTTTTGGGATTTTATTTTTTTTTAAATCGAAGGTAATTGACAATTTTTAGAAAGATCAAAGTAATTTGCTTCGATTGGGGAAGAAATGACCTTGGGGAAAGAAGGAAAGGACTTTGTGCGAGTATCGTACTTCTTTGGACGAAGATTCGGGTGTAAAATATTTAAAAATTTTTTTTTCGCTTAAATAAGGGACATCATCGAGGAATAAAAAAGTTGATGGTTTATATTATCTCAGGATGGGATACCACGAGTCTGAGATAACTGTTATGCTATTGACATTTCGAGAATTTTACGAACCGCGAATTGATTCGCGCGAGACTAGTAGACGGTTGTTATGTTACTCTTGATGGCGATCGAAAGTTGAAAGAGAAAGTGGCAAAGTGGAAAGTAAACAAGTTATACGAGCACCCTACGAGTCGTTGTAAGAGTTTCTTTTTCGCAAAATTGCTTGATCATCCATAAAATTTCAACGTAAATCATTCCTTCGAACGATTAATAAATAATTTTATACAACGTGTAATTATTGATTTTCCTGTTCGCATTCTGTTTCACATCTTTCACTAAAGCAAGCACACTTTTCGAAACGAACGAATTCCAGAAAATTTCAAGTATTCACCGATGGATAGGTCGTTTCCGGAGGAGGAAAGTAATTTTCGAAATTTTTGAATCGAGGAAATCATAATCTTATCGTTCGGGTTGAACAGTTTTATGAAAAATGAAAAGAAATTTTCAAAAAGTATTTGGGAAATCGTGTCAATCGTATTATAAATTGAAATAAAATTAAAATATTTCTTACAGAATGCTACTTGTAACTTCATTGTATTCAATGGAACGAATGGAAAGAATGAATAATACACGATAAAAAAATTCCACGGAAGCTAACAACTCGACCAATTCGAATGAAAATTAATCGGTCAAAATTGTAAAAATTGTCAAATGTAACGCCGTTTCGAAACGTTAACTACTTGCTGTTTCTTCTTTTCTTTCAGCCCTTGAACTTATCAAACACATAAAGGGACAAAGAAATAAATACAATTTATCGTTTACCTGATTAAATTTAACAGGGACCTTTCCATTTCGCTTAGCTGATCCTGATTGACGGACGAGGTCAGTTCGCATATCAGCTTGGGCAAACAAGCAGTCTTGATCGTCGTCATCATTCTTGCACGCCGTGAAATTGCTGCAAATTAATCCATATTATTAGAACACGTGTAAACCTCTTATTGATCCAATGAATATCTGATATCGCACGTTCCAGAATCTAATTCCACTCTAGCCCGTAACGGACGCTTATAACGTGTCAAGAATCAAGGATAATCCTTTTACTTTTCAGAGAAACTCTTGAGATGCGCACGAAGATATTTCAACTTAATAATTAAAAAATAACAGATCTCTTCTCTTCAATCTGTTCGCTCTTTGAATATTCACCTTAATTTGCCCCCAATTGAATCAAATTATAAGTTTCTCGTCGGTTTCATTTAATTAAGAAACCATCGAAGTGGCAAAACGAGAATTAAATAAATCCTTTTACACGTGGAGAAATTTGTTGGCAATTACAGAGATATTCGAAAGATAGTAAATTATGGAATAGAAATAGAAAAAGAAAAAAAAAATAGGCAAAAATATATATTTTATAATCGAATGATTCGATTATTCTTAGAAATAGAAATGGAACTTGCTTGGCCCTCTCCTTTTAATTTACTCTCGTTAATGAGTTAAAAAATAATTAATCAAATCGAATGACTCGGGGAATTTTTCAATAGCCTATTGTCACGAGCACGATAATTAATTCCGCTTCGCTTAAATATGACATAAGATACCCAATAAGGATATGCTAAGTGGACGAATGTTTACCAGCAAAATTCGTAGACACTTTAATAAACTTTATCGAGTGTGCTTCGTTAAATGTAGAAAAGCAAACACCACGTGTTCCGTTGAAAACGATTAAAAAAAATCCTTTCTCGAACTCGAACAATTGACTTGTACGGAGAAAAGAATAATTGAGAAGAAACATTATCTCTGGTCAATTCACATCACGTGAAAAAAAGAAAGTCTCGATAAATCACGTATACGATGCGATAAATATCACGTGCATTTAACAAAATTATACAATGTATAAAAAACATCAGATTAATGAACAATTTTGAGAGAAGAAATATATATATCGATCTTATTAATCTAGGAATCTAGGAAATATTATATCATTTATTATTAATTAAAAAGATATTTTTAACGCATCGTTCGAAATTGGCACCAAAAACGAGTCATAAATCATAAGCATCAGAAATTTCCTTCATCCAGCCTTCTAAACTAAATTCAAAATATTTTCCAACCGAATGAAATCACGAACGTAGAATCGTTCCACTATCGAGACACTCGCTTCGTAATATTCCGATCAGAATTACACGAATGAGTTACACGTTACACAAGCACACCTGATCTCAGCCAATTTATTCCTTACCGTTCTCCTTCTCGTCCATCTTCTTGGTGACGGACAGGGCTACCCTCTCCTCGGGATCCCCGTTGCTCCTCGCCTGGCCTGCCTCGGGATTTTTGATCGGCTCGGTGATATTCTGCCCGGTTGACCGGCCGAAAATCGCGGTGATCAGATAAGTGTAATCGCCCGCCAGCATGAGGAACATGCCGAGGAATATGACCAGGCGCACCGTGCTGGTGTCCATGACCATGCCTCCGGCTCACTCCGCGTCCTTGGCGTTCGTATCGCCGCGGTGAAACGACGCGTCCGCACCGATCGACGATCCTCGATTCACTGCGGCCTCCGCCGATTCAGGGACCGGATCGAGGAAGAACCGAGCCGAGGGGACTGGATCTGCCGATTGAACTTTATTCCCCGTGCCGCTACACCTACTGCGTCCGATTAAAACGGCGCCACCATTTGTTTTTATATTATTCCCGATTCGATCGCGCGTTCTCGATCGAGAAAGTGATCGGGTGTTATTATTGGAGCTATGATCGAAGCGGATGATGCTTTGAAAAGGCTTGGATTCGATTGTTCGAACGAATTATTTGCGGCGAAAAGATAACGAGGTTTCGAGATCGTCTTGAAAGGTAGAGATATTCCGTTTTGTGAAACGCGATCGATCGGTTTGGGTTCGATTGTGGTGTCTGAAAAAGATAAATGAAGTTTTGGAAAATAAAATTTCGAAGGAGATTTGGATTTGATGAGCGCGCGAAAATTTTGTTTCGGGTTAAAGTTTTGAGAATTGAGAAGAGATATTGCAGATTTGTGAAGGAAACTTAAATAGGCATGACTCGGATTCGATGGTATGTAGGAGAACAGGTAAATTTTTTGGATTGGAAGGGTAATTTTTTTTATGAAATTGAAGATCTTTCGAAAAGCGTGATAATTAATTTACGTCTGATATATAAATTTTTGTTTTAGGTGAAAAAATAATAAACGTTTGTGACTGTAAAATTAGAGAAATGTAATTGAAATTTTTCTTTCTAAATTTGTTGTATAATTGATCGAGACACGAACGCAGAATATTTTTCTACACGTTTGAATATTTCTCGATAGAATGATAGAGAATGATAAACATACGCTCGACTTCTAAAGAATTCGAAAGGAGAAACATAAGTACGTGTTACGCAACAGCCATATTGGAACGCCTTAATCCGATTTTCTACAGCGCATATATGCAAATTAACAAAAACGATATTATACATACCCGTGAGAAACATGGACGATGCACCGCACGCCCGTGTCCAAAGATCGTCGACTTTCAAACTGGAGGATGTTACAGAAGAACTTTCGCTTTCTATTCACTTCCACTTTCTTCGATACGTTCGAATCGTCGCAATATACTCAACAACTCCGATTCAAAACTGTATCGCAACGAAAAAAAAAAAAAAAAAAGAAAAAAAAGAAAGATCCCTCCAAATTCCCGTCCCTTTCAAATTCTTTCGAAATCCTCTTTATTACACTTTAAAAATATCCAATTTCCAGTTATCCTTGAACGAGTTACAATAAAATTCTCGTCCAAAAGTGAAACCATTCGACACTCTGAAACTGAAACGATAATAACGAAGCTTTCTAATTTTTTAATTAGAAACAATGGGTCGGGCGACGAGTGGAAATAATTATTCCGTAACACGATCGAATGGGTCAAGTACGGCGGATTGAAAAGAATGCGTTTGACGACGAGCGACGGAGGTGTTGAGCGTCGCTACCGCAGTCTACCGACGTCGCGCAATGACTGTGAATGATTCGAAACCATGGCGGTAGAGCTAACGAGTTGTCAGTGAAAGTTGGACACCCGGCCGCAGCGATCGGATCGGCCGATCTTGTGCTCGTTTGTTTGCCAATCGGGGCAAACACGTAGGAAGTATCCTTTGTTTCGGATGCGCGAGCATAGTTTTCCCCTCGTTGAACAGGTATATATACGAAATCGATTTTATTTTTCCATTTTTCAATTTTTTTTTCTTTTCTAGTTAAGCTAAAAAACAAAAAAAAAAATAAAAAATTCGCATTCCGTTCGCATCGATTTTAATTACACGGCAAGTCAAGTAGTATTCGGTGAAGAAATATTAAGAGGATTGATCGAAGAATAAAACGTTGTAATATAAATTATGAATTTACGAGGAATTTATTCATATTTTTATATTACAAAGTTCGTGAAAGTATTGGTCATTTTTTTTTTTTTGTTTGGATTGAACATGTTTATTACACACTTTTATAATACTTTAAAAAATATACCAAATGTATGAGTATATTTATTATTATTAATTATGCAACAAATATTATGTATTTATTTTATGTAATAATGAATGAAAAACTTAACGTATTTATTTCATCTTGATATAAAATTTTAATGTATTCTATTTATACGCAGTTTTAACAGCTTTATATTTCTCGTAGATGAGGAAATACTCGCAGTTTTTTACTTATTTGCAATTCTATATCTATAATTAATTTTTAAAAGTAGAATATTATACGTATATTTATGAAATAACAAGAGACTACACTTTTTCTTTTCATTTCTTAATCATTCTCTCTCTCTCTCTCTCTCTCTCTCTCTCTCTCTCTTTCTCACTCTTCTTTTCTGCGTATCAAGCAACGCGTAAATATTTATCATATTTCTTATTTTCCACGGAGAAAGATTGTAAATTCCCGCGAAGATATTGAACATGGATTGATTTGTCAAACAGTCTTTGTTCATTAACATCTCGAATTATAACATCCCGTCGCAATTGTGTTTAATAATTCCAATTCGATACAGGCATGTTGTATCTGTAACAAGATATTCACTTTCGATTCTTCAAACTCTGATTACGGAGTTAAGTGACTAACGATAAATTTTAAGGAATTAAAAAACACAGAGTTAATTTCAAAATTATTTATTATTACAAAAATACTTACACTTACACTTTCACGTAGAAAAATCTTATCTTTCAATATCTCTACAAAATATTCTCTACATCGATATTTTTTAATTTTTTCTTTTTTCTTCTTCCTTTTCTTCGCTTTTTGAATTCCCTCTTCTCGTATAAAGGCGAGAAAAATTTATAAAAATATTAACATGATCTCATCATTGTGAAATGTCCACATTGTAACTTTGCGTAATAAATTTGCCTAATAAAATAAATGAATATTGAAAATTATTAATTAAATATGACGGTGTCCAATCTTTAAAGAAGTTACGAATCGATTTAATTAAAAACTCTCTGTTTCTTTCTTATTCTTAATTCTATCTCTCTCTCTCTCTCTCTCTCTCTCTCTCTCTCTCTCTCTTTCTCACTCTTCTTTTCTGCGTATCAAGCAACGCGTAAATATTTATCATATTCTTATTTTCCACGGAGAAAGATTGTAAATTCCCGCGAAGATATTGAACATGGATTGATTTGTCAAACAGTCTTTGTTCATTAACATCTCGAATTATAACATCCCGTCGCAATTGTGTTTAATAATTCCAATTCGATACAGGCATGTTGTATCTGTAACAAGATATTCACTTTCGATTCTTCAAACTCTGATTACGGAGTTAAGTGACTAACGATAAATTTTAAGGAATTAAAAAACACAGAGTTAATTTCAAAATTATTTATTATTACAAAAATACTTACACTTACACTTTCACGTAGAAAAATCTTATCTTTCAATATCTCTACAAAATATTCTCTACATCGATATTTTTTAATTTTTTCTTTTTTCTTCTTCCTTTTCTTCGCTTTTTGAATTCCCTCTTCTCGTATAAAGGCGAGAAAAATTTATAAAAATATTAACATGATCTCATCATTGTGAAATGTCCACATTGTAACTTTGCGTAATAAATTTGCCTAATAAAATAAATGAATATTGAAAATTATTAATTAAATATGACGGTGTCCAATCTTTAAAGAAGTTACGAATCGATTTAATTAAAAACTCTCTGTTTTGTACAATTAATATAATACGTATTTTCCAATTTCACGTGCCTAAGACAAAGCAGATTTTTCAATAGTAACCAGTCTTTTCAAGGATAGTGACACAAGCATTTCCAGATCAGATTAGAATCACTTAATACACATACACATAACACCTGTTTTACTTTCATAGAATATTTTAGGTCCGGTTAATCGAGTGCAATTACTCGTTTACCTTGAGTGTCTCTTTTTTTCTACGAGGTGTGCATCTAAATGAAGCTCTATTTTTTTTAATTCTCCTCACCTATCCAAACACGTATTCTCGTATCGCACCCACGATTTGTCAGGGATTCGTAATCCACGGGAATAATTTATAATTTACGATCTCTATTAACCGTTTTTTAGGTTTCGTACTCTTCAGCAAAAAAAAGCTGAGACTGTTTATGCAAATGATCTTAAACATACGGCGAATAAATATTCAACGAAATTATTCAGATAAAATATTTTTAATAAACAAAAAGATCGAATATTTTTGTAAAGTTATTGAGCGATTCATGTTGCATATGACACGCAGTATTTTATTTTAGATGAGGAATTTCGATACGAATATTACATGGTTTGTAATATTCTTGTAAATGGAAGGAATTGGTAAAAAGTATTGCACGTAATGGTATTATATAGTTTTACTTACAAAATATATAATCGAAACATGCATTTGCGCATAAAATAATTGTGCAAAAATTTATTATATTTTTTCTTCGTTTATATGGCACAAAATAATACAAAAATGGACGAACAGTTTTAAGTACGAATTTGACACAAATTTGACGTTCTGACACAGAAATTTAATATTTCTCTTTCGTGAAAATAGTGACGAGGCCCAACAAGGATTTAGTAAGGGGTGTCACGTTTTTCAGAGTTCCAGTGTTCAATTTCTTCACATTCAACCGTGACGAAGTAGCGTTGTTCCAGAATTTCTCGTATCGTTTTCTTCTTCTGTCGTTGTGTCGGCGATCTCCACCACTCCAGATCAATTTTTCCGTTCTGGAAATCAAACGATCAAACTCGACTTTTATTAATTGGAAAGTTGCGCCCGAAAGGAGCGTTCAAGCGAGTTGTTATGATTTTCTGGAGCGCATAACCTCTAACTTCCACTTATTAATTCCTGTGTTTCAGAAAGTTGAATGAATAGCTTCAATTATACATCTAGTTAACGTTTCAATTACTCGTCCAATTGCTGACAGAGAAAGGAGAAAGCGGATTAGAAACACATTACTCTCTCCTCACAAAACCAGAGGATAAATTAATTAACATTTATCGCAGGCATCTATCCTCGTCGAATCAATTCAACGATAAATGCAAAACATCACACGAAAAATAACTTCTATTTAATAAAAATTGTGTAGAAACATTTTATTACATTATATATTCCTCTTCTTCTCCTTTATAAAAATTCTCCTCATTTAAAATTCTAGCAATTTGGAGAAATTCTTAACAGAAAAATATATAGTCGAAGAAAAGAACAAAAAAAAATCAGAGAAGCGAAAAAAACGGAAAAATAAAAATACTCAACGTTGATAAATCGCTGATTCCGAGGAAGCCTCGACAGAGGCGTAGTTACTTGAATCCGATTTTTGGCGGTGTAGATGCAGCTGCAACTGCGGGAGTTGGACGACGTTGGCCAGGAGGTCGAGTGACAAAGATCCCATATTTCCTGGGCGGAGGTTCCGGAGGCAAGGGCGGTGGAAATGACGGTTCGAGTATCTGTACGCAAACCACAAACGTCTCCGCTAATTTTCGTTACCATTTACTCAAACTTGCACACATACGCAAATACAAAAATTTATTAATCATTAGATTCCATAAAATTATCTCTCTCAAAATTACCTATTCACATTTATACACTATAAATACCAAAATTTGAAATCTTTGACCAACATACTACAGTATCGTTACAATTATCAATTAAGAATCACCATGGACACCAAGACTGACGCATATACACACATATACACGAAAATTTATGATCATTAGATTCCATAAAATTATCTCTCTCAAAATTACCTATTCATATTCCTATAACTATAAACACAATAAAGTGAAATCTTTGACCAGTATCGCTACAATTATCAATTAAGAATCGACGATGGACTCAGATCCATCGACAATCGTGCACGATAACGCGCGATAATCAAGCATCAAACCCTTCTTCCCTCGTCCGCAATCTCATCCCGTCTGAATGCGTCTTAACTAACCACGGGAGTCCCACGGTTTTCCCCAATTTCGTTCCCAGACACCGAAATAACTTTACGCGTCTCGCCTACCGCGAGTCGTCTCTCCGAAACAGAATTTCCCCGACCTGCAACTTGTTACAACGACGGCCAAACAAGAGGTTGGGCACTCGTGACAATTACAGAGAGGAACCCTTTCGCCCGGTTTAATCGAAACACACACCTTGAGATTCTCGAGCGAGCCCGTAAGAGTCGTGCCCGGGTGCTCGTTTTCTCGGTCAGCGACGTCGCCCGCAGAACTCTCGCACGATTTCCCGCTGGACTTGTACTGAAAATCAACTACGGATTAACGGAAAATCGGTGAATTTGAGCGGTGGGTGGGCGAAGGTATTTTTGGATTCGTAAATAGAAGATGTATTTTCGCTACTTTCTCCACGATCTTCTCCAACTCCGACAGCTTGTCCGCGGCGTTGATCAACTCGGAGCTCAGTCTTCGCATCTGAATTATCATTTCGTCCGATTGTTAACACAAAGATCGATGATGATCTGGTTTCTTTTTTTTTTGACGAGGCTAAGGATTTTGGATGGTTAAGGATATGTTTTTTTTTTTTTCCATCGTGAATGAAACAATTATCCTTAAGGATCGTAAATCCATAGCCATCGATTATTACGATATTGCGAGTGTTGAGTTAGGATTTTAAGTTACTTCGTCTTCCAGCTCGTTCGATGTTAATTTTTGCGTTTCTTTCTGAAAGGATAATTTAATAAGTGTACGTGTAATAGCTGTTTGAAGAGGGATTAAAAATATTCTTTCCGAGTACCGTACCACTTTAACCACGACCTTGTCGTACTCTGTTTTCTTATCCTTCAACGCCCCTATGTCGTCCAATTTCTGTAACAATCGTTTAAACGAAAAATCGATATGATTGAATTTCTATCCGTCTATCAACTAGACGCACCGTTCTATTCTGCTCCATAATCTTTAACATCTCCTTGTTCGACTTTTCCATTTTCTTAATCACCTGGAACGTGGATATTTTTACAAAAATCAACAAATAAGAAAAATCTAGCTAGAGAAAAGTCGAGAATATTATAATATTGTTACTTAAAACTCAATTCCGAAATAGAAAAATTAATATTCTCAACAAGTGGAGGGAGTGTCGTGGAATAGAAATTTCTCAAAAAATTTATTTTACTCACCGTGGTGGCGTACCACAGAGCCACGTAGAAAAGTATGTGCATCAGCACGCAGATATACACGTTGTCCAACACGTAAGCCCGTATGAACGACTGCATCGATGTAAAAAGAAAAAAAATGGAAATCATGGGTAATCACGCGATGTCTCGTGATGTTTCACGTGTTCGCGCATTTACGATACCTGACGGTCGTACACATCGACGAGCTTCAGAATCGGATAGGATTTGATCAACCGGGAAAAATAAGTCTGCCTTTGCAAGAACATCCTCGCCAACGCAATCCATTGGCCGGTGTGTAAAAGATTTGGTTAACTCCTCGCTGGAAGGATGGGAAATATCGACGACAAGGTAAATAACCCGGGACGCGAGACACGTCTCCCCTGTAAACGAGAGACGAAAATCCGTCAGATGTTACATCGCAGTCATATTGAATTCGGTTACGGTTGAATAATCGACTGTCGAGCAATCGAGCGTTTGACTCGCGACGTTTCACGATCGATTCCTCTACAATTTCAGGGCCTTTTTACCTCCCCTTCTTTCTTCGGGGAAGCGAGTTTGAAATCTCTCGGTGAAATTTTGAAAGTTGTGGAAACTTAAGATCGTTTGAGCGAGATAATTCGATCGATTTCAGAAAATTGTTGAAAATTTGAAAATGATTATTATTGAGGGAGATTTTCTCAGAAAGCAAATGAAATTACGAAATAACGAAGAAATGTGAAGAACCTGCTTAAAACCTGTGATTATTACCTATTATTATTAACGAAGTGTTACGATATTCATGACCGATTGTTTTCCTCGAGCATTACGTGCTACTTCGATATAAAGTATTCCAATTGTTATGACTCTATTTTGAAAGTATAAAATAGCTGTTTAAAAGTGTAGCGTGATGACTCACTAGTTCATACAGCTTTATATTATATGCGATAGCGTGCACCATCGATGAGTCACGCTATTTTTTTCTTTTTTCCTTTCTTTTTTTTTTTTTATAATTTTTATATCAGTATCAAGATTCGAATTCAATTAGTTCGAGCTACATAGTACGGTATCGATCGTTCGCTATAATTATCGCCATCGAAACAAGGTCGCAACGTTAAACACGAAAAGAGAATTCTCATCGATCGTGGTCGAGTCAAGTATTAAATAATTGATCCTGTAATTTTATAAACGTTACGACGATATAAATCTCGATTGAGATATCATTTAAATTGATATCGAGGAAAAGAAATTATGTAATTTCTAGAGAATTATGTAATAAAATAGGGAGTACGATCGATTATACATAATTTAGCCTGGAATTGATCGATAATCGTTTATCATTAAACGATCTATCCACGATGGCTGATGACTTAATTTCGCGATCAACGCGTTATCGTTTAGTCGATATATACGATGCATTGTTATCGATAATAAGCTTGGACGATGTCAGATGGCGAAGGAAGTTGAAAAGAAAGAGAAGAAGTGGAAAAGAAAAATATTATACGCGTCAAATACTAAAAACCTTTATTCCATGATTTTTCGAAAATTCATTTCGAAAAATTTTTACAACACGCGTTCCTTCTTTTACATTTCCATTCGCTTCTCGAACCATGGATCCGGTAATCTCTCTCGTTGATGAATAATATTTACAACGACGCGATGGTTATTTTTACATCTTCGATTATAATAGGAAAGTAGTAAGTAATCCAAATTTTCAGCATTTCGTTCTTTCTTAAATAATTATTTACTTAATAAATAAATATGATCTATCACAATGGATATATAATTATGAAAAGGTATCATAAAATTATTATTATTTTAAATTAATTGCATTATTTCGCGAATTATCGTTGCATTACAGGATTCGATAGGACGAGATGATGCGATTTTATCGCTGCTAGGTCGTAAAGTAATTCGCCATTGATTTACGGAGATGCTAATTGGCCGGTGGCGTCCAAGTGCTTTTAGCGTGTCAGTCTTCGTAATTTCACTTCGGGATTCGATCACGAAATTATTCGTCGAATCAACGTTAACGACCGCATCCCCTCCTGCTTTTGCTTTCCAATTTTTATCTTGATTTCGCCCTACGAAAGAATCCTCGAAATACGAGACGGTTTTAATGGAAAACAGGAAAACGTACGAACGGGAATAGATCGTTTAAACGAGGGAAATGTTAATTTTATAATGCTCGCTCGATGCACCATGGTTGAAAGAAGAAAGAACAGTACATGTAATATCGATAATGAAACGTGTACTTGGACGGGGGAGAACCGAAACTTGCGAAACAACGTTCATTGATTTATAATATACACGAGTTTGCGGTTTAATTGGTTTAATTGGTTTGTTCAATGCCGGAACACGATGGTACTTTATTTGATGGGACGAGACCGGTTAACCCTTTCCTTCTCTGAATTATTTAACAGCCACTGTTATCCTGTCTGCGAATTTTCATCGCCCCGTCACACGTTAAATAAACCACGCCGCGTTTTAATATTTCAGATTTATTGGCCCAAGAATGGGACGAGAAAAGTGTCTGTAATTTTAATTTTATAATTTAACCTTCGAATAAGTTTCGTTTCATTTTAACTTTTCAACTTCCATCTAATTATATCATTTATATTTTGCTGAAAGAGAAATTTGTAATCTCGATGACTGGAATTTCAAACCAGTAATCTCGTGATTCGCGACCCGTCAATCGGGGCTGCGAAAATACCGCGTGCGCGGAATTAACGCGCGCAATTAAGTTTTCACAATCGGCTCGATCAGGAATCAACGGGGTTTCGCGCGGGCGAACGAAGCCGGCCAAACAAAACCGTAATTTACCGGGGGGAGGGGAATGTGACAGTTGTCGAACGAGCGTCGTGAAAAATTCAGTCCCGTCGCGAGCGTAAACAAGAATCGATCATCAAGTATCGATCCTCTTCGCAGATAAATCCGCTCCGAATAAAAATGTTGCGTAACGATGGAGAAAGAGGAGATAAAAAAAAAGAAAAGAAAAGATGAGAGTAGGAGAAAAATATATATTTTTATTTTAATAAAATATTTCCAAGTATTTTGAATCTCTTACACGATATCATTACCAATGGCCCGTATCAATTTGAGAGATAAGAAATTGTAAGATGAAGTATATTTTTAAAATAAACGAAACAAATGTAACGAGATAAATCAAACGAATCGAATCTTCAACGTACTTCGTTATTATTAATTTAAAACTCTATTAAAATTAAATCCGCTATAACTTTAAAGATAACGATCCCCGATCAATGAATGTACGAGCGTTGGAAACGCGAAATCCTGCCCTTTAAAACATTTTTTCATTTATTCCGATACGATTTCCGGTTCGCGAGATATTAACGTAAAAAGAACTTAGGTAATTTTATCCTAAACTGTATTGTAAAGTGTATTAAAATTAGAAAAACTTTGAATCGCTATAACTCCGAAAATAATAACTCTCGGTCGACGAGTGAGGGATCGTTAGAAGCACGGAACCTTGCCCTTTAAAACGCTTTTTTATTCATCTCGATACGACTTCCCGTTCCCGAGATATCGTCGTATAAAGAAAAGAGTAATTTTTAATCGTTTACTTGTCGCTTGCTTGCATACTCTTCTTCAACTGACCTATTCCAAAACTACAAACGGTCGCGATTCCTAGAAAAAAGTGGTACGCATTTCCAGGAAAAATACAAGTTGCTAGATAGCGGATCCATTCATAATTTTCACGCCATATTAAATACCACGGAAACTTTGAATCCTTATATCTCAGCAACCAATTGAGATATCGGGATGAAACAAAAAAGAGCTTCAATGGCACGGTTTCCTCCATATTTTGAATAAATTTTGAAATTTTTAATTTCTTTTAACTTCTTTTATATTCTTTTATATATATATATACATATGTGAAAAATGAACGTTTTCATTTGTGTATGAATAGAATAAAACAAGGCACATAATTCAAATTTTTTAAATTTCTTCCCAACTTTCTTTTACACGAAAGTTTGATTCTGAATATAATATCGGTCCTCCGTTGTACAAGCAAAGAGTACGTATTTAAGGGTACGTATCTAACGATCCATTAACGTTTAAACTTCATCCTCACTGAGAGGACGATCCTCGAAACCTCTGTACAAACGCGTATGTCCAAACAATCCAGTTAAAGCATATTAGAAATTAATCCCCGGGCGATCCTGCCGATCAGCGTCAGCATTCGATTAAATAAACAGGAATTAGCACATGAAAGGCGGCGTGAATCGTCCTCGGAGGAGTTGGGGGGAGGACGACGCCACTTGTCGTTTCCCATCGCGCCTCGCGGGGTTGACTAACTAAATACGAAGTTAGCTCTGAAAATGGGGCCCGGGGCCAGGGTTAAACCAGGCTTAAAAAGCCCCGCGCAAACACGCCGCGAGTCAACTGCGAAAACACTTGAGATCACTTAGAGGAATCACCAACGTTTCCAACCCTCGCCGCTCGAGATGTTTATGTAAAACAGTGGCCGATATGGATCGGCGAGTTTTGCGCCGCGCGCGAAACTCTGGATCCACTTGACGCGTCAAAAACGTCAGTTACATTGATACCAAGGGGGGTGGAGATACATCGAGGGGGTGGGTCGCTTTTGTCGGGATCGTGACTGAGAACTCCGTTTGCCAGTTGGAATTCGAGGTTCTTCTGGATGGGGTGGTGGTGTTGTTTCGAGGAGGGTGGCGGATTGGGACGAACGATTTGGAAAATAGGGGTGGATCGAGTTGCTCCTATTATCGAAGCCCGAAGGTTTTGGCTTAATGAAACAGCATCTGGGAATGCACGCGGTGATATTTAATTGATAATAATAACGTTTCTCTTTTGAGAAGGAAGATTCTTTTTTATCGATCAAAAACATTTTTCTCCGTGCGGGAAAGAAAAAAATGGAGAGGAAGATCCGCGTTTTAAATTTCCCAAACACGTTGTTTCCCCAAAAGAGTCGTTCCACCGTGTCGGTTTCCTTTGGCGCACAAGGCACAGCTCGGGCGGTGCACGAAACGCAATTTCCAGCCGAGGGAACAAACCCCGGTAAAACAAACTCGCGTCGTCTGCTCGTTTCACGAGCGAGTTATCGCGCGATCGGCGCGTAAGAGGCGAAGATAAAGGCGCACGGGTAGATAGGGGCGGGATTAGGGGGGGAGTTGGGCCAGGTTGGGCAGGAGCAAATTGGTGGTCGGCCAGGGAAAACAGGATAACGCCGGAGGATCGTGTGGATCCTGTGGATGGTGCGCCTAAATAGAGGCGGGCAATAGCATCGGGACATAATCGATTTGCCGTGAACTCATCCGTAATTCGGGGCCACAGTCGGCGTGACAAGAAAGTCTCGACGCCGGCAAAGGCGCCATCGAACCGAGAAATTACTCATCGTTCTGATTGAGGTTAATTAATTAGATAATTAAGTCTCCCCGCGACGACGACGACGACGACGACGACGACGATGGATGGATGGATGGATGGAGAGAATGGCGAAGGATGAAGCTGGTTAGCGAAATTGTCTTGCTGCAACCTCTTCTTCCGCGTTCTCCCTTCTCTCTCCTG